AAATATCATCAATTGTGATTCCATACCCACCTTTGTCTTTAAAAAATGTTCTACTTACTTTTGCCGGAATTGAAGCATATGAGATGAATATACACAATACAGTATAATAATGAACATCAAAGTTTTAAGAGATACAACCATGACAAGTATCGAATGAATTTATCTCCAACCTCAACATATTGGCAATACAACATGTGGGATTTTACTATGTACGTGACTTTTTTTTCAAAAAAGTTTGTATTTTTTGAAAGATGCAACGAATGAATGTCATCGCTACTTACGTGCAATGCTCTGAACCTCATCATAACAAGTGTACCCAAAAATTCTATGGTCCAGTCTAATAGACTATTGTGGTCAGTCATTGAATATAGAGGTGAAGTGCATGTCCAAATATGGATAGGATTAATTCCTCAACTTCAAACAGGAGTTTTTTTTCCCATTATTTAAGTAAATCTATATGCAATGAACAAGTAAAGTTCTGAGGGTCAATATTCAAGCAAGATCACACATTCTAAGCTCAAGTCTTGCAAGATCTAACTGGTGCTGTAAGTTACTTCTCATCCTTGCACATTACACTGCCTCCAGCTCATGGAATTCCAAAGACTTTTGACGAAAGAATATCAAGCTGTCACATCCAATCAAAAGTTGGATCTCAATAATATCAAAATACGCAGAATCAAGTTTCTTAATTTTGAAACGTCATCTTAGCAACATTGACTGTCATCATTGAACAAATAATTTACACACATAATTTACACAATTGTGTACCGTGAGTTCATGGTAAATTTCCAAACTGTAATCAGCGCATGCAAATCAGCTAAATATGGAATTGGACAAAATGGTTTCATTTTACTATGAAATTGGAACAACATTTATGCATCACAAGCAAACAACTTAGGCAGAAAGAGTCAAGTCGATCGTCTCTCCTAGAATTCTAGCTTGTTACTCTTTACGTTTTTCTCTATTTGCACTTGCCTGAAGGAATTGCTTGATCAGACTTCGAGTTCTTTTGGCCTTCTGCCTGCCCTTTCGAAGTCTGAGCTGTAAAGCTCCTTCTTCTACCTTTCCTAAATCTGCGGTAGGGGCTCTAAATCTTTCTCCTGTTTCAAGTAATCTCTGTGGCTTAGGACATTTAATGCCTGCTAATTTTTCAAGCCAACTCAATTTCCTAAATGATGAGCTAGGCTTATCTAGCATGGATGTACGCCACATGTCTGCAACAGGAAGTATTCTACCAGTACTCCATGCTTGGTGAGACTCCTTGATACGTCCAATGCAATGCCGGAGCTCTAGCTCTCCCACTTTCAGCATACTAGGATTTTCATCAAAAAAGTCCTTCAGCCATACCAATTGAGTATGAAGAACACGCTTGATCTTTTCTTCCTCCTCCAGATCTGTTGGCTTTGATGCTTTCTTTACAGGGCTGTCCGTATCTGATAACACATAGAACATGTATGGTTAGGTAGTTTCATCACTCAAACTGTCATTTCTGCAAAATATATGCAGTTATTGCACATTAAACTAACAGTTTGAAGTACCTTCTGTAAGGTTGAAAGTGTCATGGCGATCATCTTTGACTTCAATATCTGCAAGTTCTCTTCGAAGGACTGGATCCTCATTGAAATCATATATCTGTGATGAAGGACCTTTATCACAGAGCTCTTTGATTCCACCTCGTATTCCACCAAACCGTATGCCCAAACAAATGCGGATGTTGGTCTCGGAATATCCTTTCCTTCGTAGAATAAGAATCTAGACACACATGAATCAAGCAGTGTTAATAAAAAATACAGATACGATCAATATATGCAATCAAAAACAGAATTACAATCTGAGTTGTACCTGATGTTTGCAAAAGTTGCCTTGGAGTGACCAGAAGCACTCGCATGCATACTTTTCTCGTCTCCAATTTACAAGATACCTTCTATTTAGCTTTGATGTAGAGCCCACTAATGCGGGGCCTGCATAGCCATGAGGCCAAGTAACAGGGACAGTTAGCATAGATCTTGTCTTCATGATCACAGCAACCACACGTTGATCTTTCTTTTTATTTGGAATAAAGCCAAGTAGCTTCTTCTGATCTTTGTACCAAATTCTCATTACAAAATCCCCTAGCAGACCATATACTGTACGATCCAAACGTTGCTCATGTGCATTCCTGCGCCAGCCATAAAGGAAATCCTTCATGTGTCCATGCATTGATTCCATAGCGTTGTTGGTATCTTGATTGTTACGACATGTCTTCCTCCGTTCATCACGAATCCACTGACCTGAATTCCAAAACAGTAAGTTAGATGTGCTTGTGGAAGTTCATTAAGCAAAAAACAACTTCCAAAATGTAATAACTTCAAATATAATGCACATGTTACAAACTTACACTTACCCATACAAGGTTCCCATTCTGTTTGAAAGTATTTCACAAATTGTGGCTCAGAGAGCTGAAATTTTTTGTAAAATAACAGAAGCTTCATCGCAGCAGATCTTTTCACATCAAATTCTTCTCCATCAGCAATTAATGTGCTTCCAAAGCACATGTCTTCTAAAGCAGCATTCATAATAGCTCTCTTTTCATGACCACTCACAACCTCAATCAATTTCTTTGTCCATGCTTTTCGAACATGATATATGCAAAGAAATACAGGGATATGCGGAAAAACAATGTCTAGGGCAAGTTTCTCATTGTCAGCACAATCCGTCATGAAGCACGAGGGCATCCATCCAGGGATATAATGTTGGGCCATCTTCTTCACTGCAGATAATAAATCCACCAGATCTTCTGTTTCTTCTCTTTCGAGGAATCCAAAAACAGTAGGATGTCCGTGTTCATATTTGTCAAACACCATCAGGGTGTACAGTGGATACTGCATTGCAAAAAATGAAATAAACGTATCAGTTTGCTGCTAGCAATCGTCTACAAAGTATTCATCTTCATTGATACTAAGCTAAATCTGATACAAATGAATGATTCGCTATTTTTATGTCTTGATAATTTAGACGTGATCAAGGTATATAAAACAACATATACATCACACATTGAGACGTTCAATAATCTCTTACAGGATTGGTTAAAGCTCCAAACCGTCATTTTTTCAAATATCTTGCAGAGATTGCAAATAGTAAGGTAGAATATACATAATCATGGAAGCCTGATGATAAAAACATCAAAACCTTATACTTCTGCGTGCCATGCGTTCCATCTATAGCAACACAACCTCCATTTCCATGTTTTAGCAACCAATCTAGGAGCAAGGGTCTTGTAACAACAAGCCTCAATGGTTTAAATGGATCACTTTTTGGTGCCTGATACAAAACAACTTGAGATGAATTCGCTTTCATCCATAATTCTGTGCTAATTTTATCATTAGCATGCCTTCTCCAAGTTTCTTTGTCCAGTTCCAATTTGATATTATACACATCGGCAGATGTGATATAATGATCTCTAATAGGGGACCCTTGCACATAGCCTAAGCGCTGATGATTTTCAAACAGTGCTTTTGCAGCACGCATGAGAATTTGTGGAGGAGTTAAACCTCTTCTTAACTCGCATTCAACCCACTCCCTGGCATAAGAACGTAGAAAATATTAGACAACGTGCTTGCTTAGTGTCAAAGTTTTACAAACTGTAATAACAACAAACTTATTGTAGATATTATAAATATGACGGGAGATTGACTGTGAACGATAAACAAATATATTGAAAATGTAACAAATATGCCGTTACCTGCATTCAGAGGATAAATTGCGCGCCATTTGAGATGGCAAGCCAACACTATCTGAACACGCTGTGCCATGACAAGCTACACCTGCAGCATTTACTTGTCTTCTATGCTTGTATATCAATTTTGTGATTCCTGGTGGAATGTGATCATTAGACAACAGTTTAATGGCACTAAACCTGCACTGACAGCCCTTGTGATGCGAATCATGATCTAGTCTATCCCTGCTGCCAAGACCAAATTTTGCCTTCGTTGATGGATCTTGAATAAAATTCGAGGAAAGCATACTCTTCTTGCCCCTTTCTGGAGTACCATACTTGCAATAATACATTGCATACGATTCCCAATTGTGCCTAGTACCTCCACCCTTGTGTGAGCAACGTGTCACAAATTCTGTCTTCGTATCACTATGACAAGATCCCTCTCCCGAAACAAAATCGTGAAGCCTCGAGCTTTTGATGTAGGCCGTCCCATTTGACCAATTCAACATTAACGAATTGAAAGTGCCTTCATAAGGTGGGTCCTGCACAATCCATCCTGCCTCCATGCTGTCACCACACCTACAAAAGCACCTGAAATGACAAGAAAAGTACAAGCACGAGCTCTGGCACGAGCTCCTCAAAGCACTGACACTGGCACCCAAAAGCGACGTCAAAACGACGAGCTGGAAAATATTGATGTGATTCTATTTTCAAAAACCCTAATCTTTGCCGCTTAAAATTTCGTCGCCTCAATTTGTTATCACCGTTTCATTACAAATATTACAGTCTGAATATTAGGGATTCCATCTGAGCTATCCCTCTTGCAGTTCAGTTTTAGTTCTTTTTCCCGCAACGTTCCACGACACGATTGCGATCATTGTTGCGGCGTAGATCATTGCAACGCACTAGATACAACGTTGCGGCCTCTACATGGTTGCCGCAAAGTGCCCTCCCCGTTCTCTCCCCGCAAAGTGCCCCGCCTCCCCGTTCCCAAAACTGAGATAAAATCCGGCTGATCCGGGGCAGCCCGAAGGGAGGATGAAGAAAGAAAGAAAGAGGAGAAAGAAACTGGGATCCCTGACACCTGGCAGTACGGCCGTTTGTAAAAGTTTGTGCAACTAAGCGAGTCGGATTACTTTACCCTTGAGCCTACAAGTAGTTACTACATAGAGGACAAACTTGTAACGTCCGCCGATGTACGAAGGAGAAGACCAGGAACTTTCTTTTAGTCGCAAGTAACAACGAAGTGGTTCTTGGAAAGAGTTTCAAAAGGCTGGTTCATATTCGGTTCACAGAGATCCAATCCAATATATTTTCTATTTTGTACTACACATTATAGCAGTAAGCCTGTTCCAATTACGCAACAACCATCGTACTCATGAAACAGGGCCGACATCATCCAGATTACAAGAGCTGCTTCAGCTTATTAACCTCTTCAAATTTACAGCAGGCTGATGAACACTACTCGTGGGCAGTTTTCTTTAGCCCGTACATGTTCTGTACCTAGATTACAAGGGTCACCAACCATGGTAAGCGTGACAGAAAACGACTATCCTCACCACTACCTTCATATGAAGAAAGATTCGAGGTGTATGCGCGAGTTCCCATTCTCTAAGAGTTTGGAAGAATAGCTGGCAAATCATCGGCGAATAAACTTCTAAGCTGGAACCTGAGCCTGTTGAAGAATCTGCTCGCGCCGTATTTGGAAAACCGCTTCAAGGCAATCCTCTATCACCTGCACCAGAAATTTGCCGGTTAGCATTGAAATCTAGCTACACCCTCGTCGATGATAAGTGTGCAGCACACAAAAAAGGAGTGGGCGTTTCAGAGATGCTACCTCTCGTACAACTTTCAAGTCTAAGATTTACACAAAGAACCAAGAAACTACACAAGTACTGGTGTAGTACCTTATCTGGTGTGGAAGCTCCGGATGTAACACCGATCGTAATAGGGCCCTCAGGTAGCCAACCTTCTTGCTCCACGTACTCGCCGTGCTGCGGATCGACGTTGAATAGTGAATACTAATCTCGATCGTAAGTGCATCAGTAAATTCCTAATTTTAATCTTCAAGACATTACTTCGGTCTAAATCTTCAAGCTCATCTTGAAAGGTACGCGGAATCACAATTTTTATACAAAAATATAAAGAACAATTGAATGACCATATTCCGTCAGCCAACAATTCAGATCTGATAAATCCACATAGACGGAGCAGAACGTTAACTTTTTACGAAGGGTAGGGACCTTACGTTTAACTTGAAAGCGATCTTGTTGCCAGGACCGATTCTCTTCTCGCTGTCGACCCAGTATGAAGGGATATTGTTTAACTCTGCGATTTCCTGTAAATGGGAGGTGTTACTGGAGTTCCAACCTCCAACTACAAGCATAAGATCCAGTTTTTTTTTTACCAAGTTGAACATGGCATCTTGCCTCTCCTGCGCGTACGTGCACATTGAGTTAGAGACAAATTTGACGCATGTACAGCTTTAGAAATATATAAACAGTGTTGAAATTCAACCCTTCTAATCAGATCTGTGATGCCCGAAGCAAGCCAGTCTTAAAAGACAAGGACGTACTTGGGTTGCATCACAGATAGTATTGAAGCTCATAAAGTGATCCTCCGTATTTCCAACTCCATACTTCTGCATCATTGTCCGCTCCAATAGCTTTCCTGCAAGAGAAATGTGCACAGAGTTACTCAAGGTTCATCTTCATAGGTCGTCAAACAACTGCACCCATTGTAGAAATTTATACAAAGTAAAGAAACAGTGAGCTCACATACAAAATATTCTTACGAACCTAAACCCTTCAACACGTTTGGTGCATATATATTTAATTATGACTTTCATACCCACCAATCTCTTCAGTTTCACCCTTCAACATGGTTGTTTGGTTGGCAATTCCAAGTCTCTCTAGATCGGTGTCAGGGTCAAATCCCTTGGATACGGAGACCTTGAATTTCTGATTGAGTAGATGATGTTAGTACACTGAGCATAACGAGCTAACTGTTGGTGTATAAATAAAATCTGTAGATGCAAAGCTTGCTCCTTCGACATCAACTTTAGGAAAATACGGTAAATGCTTATTGCTGACCTCCATGAACTCTTCCTTTGTTCCACTTGACCCGTCATGTTTGCCTCCTAATATGTAATCCACAAGATAGTTCGCCTGATACAAAAGAAGAAAACGAGAGTTACCATCTGGACGACTTGAACACAATAAAACGAAGTCACTTCAGTCAAATTTTCAAGTGATTTGAATTACCTCTTTCATATTCCGGACAATGATGTATTTGCCGGCGAAGGAAGCTGTGGCAACCGTTTCCTCGTGTTCGGGCTTCCCATGAATCACTGATGTGTATGTTGCCTTCTTGTGTTTCTCCACAGTGTTCCAGACCTGTAACGATTCGAGATGCCATACATCAGACAAAGAATGAGTACTGAAGAGTGCATTCACACCACACTGAGCACTATGTGTACGTAACCATATTCTTCAATTCAGGTTCTACACATGGCCAACATGATGTCCGGCTTATAAAGAACACAATTTAGTACTTCTTGTGTGTCTAACATTAATAGGAACAAAGTGTCCAAGACACAAATGAGTCACTCAAAACTGGACATGTAACCTCTAGGTATAGATCGTGTATAGTTTCTCAAAAAGGTCGTGGACTAGAATGAGACAACCACTAACCATGGAAGTCCATCAGCATACCTTGGACACCCATGGACAGGTAGTGTCGACAATCTGAACACCCTTATCATTCAAAATCTGCATTTCCTGAACGGCGGCTCCGAAAGCTGGAAGAATCACGACATCCCCATGATTCACCAATCCAAAGTTTTTCCCTTCCGTTTCCACCGGAAGAAGTTCCACATTCATATCCTCCAGCCTCTGCAAAAATACACAATTGAGCTCGTCTTGAAAATATAGATCCAGGACAACTTGAAACCATATGATCAAGAACTTGTCACCGCCAAGCACATAAACTAATATACGAACATGGGAATGTCCGATAAAGCAAATCATTTTTCAAAGGCGTCAATAGTTGTCAATTACATGTCATGATAATGAATCCGCGACTGGTCCATTAACATGAGGCTGCCCACTTAAGTAAGCAATTACGCGGGGAGGCATGCAGTCTCAATCACACTTCAAAACCACATCCGGTCTAAAGTTGGATGACGACCATGTTGAATAATTGTGAACACCAGGATTAAGCACATGCTTGCATAACCTCCAGCATTTCGAAGAGAACACACCTTGTTGACAGTAGGGTTGTGGATAATCTCGTTGGTGATCCATAATTTCTGTTCGGGAAATTGCTTCCTCGCCTCATAGGCAATCTGGACGGCGCGCTCTACACCCCAGCAGAACCCGAACGATTCAGCCAACTCGATGGTGATGTCTCCTACTGTCAGAGAATTGTTATTCTCTTTCAGCTTCTTAACGATGTTACCTGTCAGTTATCACAGAGGAATTAGCGGCCTGACATATTGAGACAAGTCGTATAGCGACAGTAAACAGCCTGTAAACCTGAGTAGGGAATAGAACAAAATCAAATCGGGGAGCTCACGGGTGAAAAAATTCAGTGAAGCTCTCACAGTCTGAATCACGCTTTCGGGTTAAAGTACGACCTCCGAAGAAACAAGAAAGAGAAAGAAAAGAGAAGCAAAAAAACAAGGAAGATTTCCAGACAATCGCAATTCAAAGGAAATTACTCCTCTCGGTAGAAGGGCAATGACTTCCTAGAATCCTTCGAAACACTGACACGTACAAGCTTATGTTCGCAAATTGAAGATGCATAAGAAGCTTAGGACGATAATTATATGAAGATACGTGCGAAACTTGTCTGCGAGAACAACGATAACAGCAAGCATGATCGTCCAATATGAACCGGGAGTAGCATAAAAGTTGTAATTGTAAAGAGGGTCATGGGACAAGTTCCCAAAGGATGAAAGCAACGGACAGAATTCTTTGAGCCTCTGCACTATGGTATAAGGGATCAAAGAAGTCCTGATGAGTCCGAAGAAATCCGAAGTAAACATACTGGTGTATTCCTCGTTGATCAAGGCGAGCATTTCCTTCTTGAGTCCAAATCCGCTCCTATTGTAATTCCCACTTGTATTCAGTGACCTCCGAAAATTCTTGGTGTCAAATGCCTCCGGGGCTGTCTCAGTTTCACCGGATGGCCCACTATGGCATTTGCTGTGCACCACAGCAGCCTCAAGCTGCCGCTGTCTAAGCTGCTTCGATGAGATTCTCACACCGTAACCAAAGTTGCCCTTCAAACTGCTCAAGCGAGGTGTGCTCGTGGTCGGCACATTCTGCACCAAGACACTGGACACCGCAGCAGTCGTGGTGGTAGCCATGGCCACGAATCAAAGCAAAGCAACTGCAACTGTCACTCGCTTGCCCCACGCCTCTCTGTCTCTACACTGCTCTCCTCCTCCCTTCCCAATTCAAACTCGAGAAGCTCGTCTTCCAGAGCTCGTGGACTTCCCTTCGAGAAGATTGCGGTTGATACGAAGGGGATTTTGCCCCTGGTCCACTATAATGCACCAAAGAGCGTCGCCTGTTGCTCCGTAAGAAGGACAGGTAGGACAGTGAGCGATTGGATGACGGAATTACGAAAGGCTTATTGCTCAGTCACCTGTGGACGCCCAAGACGTCCTCTCGCGTGCCTATGATCTTTTCGGTCCTCCGGGCTTGATCTATTAGCATATACCATTATGGCGTTGCCCAGTGTTCTGGCAATGAAAGGACAAGGGCGGGCCACTTTCAGTCTTGTACCCGCGATCAAAAACCACGTGCTGATTTTCTTTTCTCGTTCATAGTTCCTCGGGCAAAATCACATAAAATATCGGATGGTCTCTAATCCTTCCTCGGGGTATAATCATTCACTTAGAGGAATTCGAGGCAAATTTTTTTTGTTCTATACGTTATTTTATGAAGGTATTTTTTTCCCGGAAGAAAACAAACTCTTATCTTCTGCTGACTTTCTAATCTCAACTTCCACCGACACTTCCTCGTTTAAGAACAATCACGAAAAGACATGTCGGAGTTCACAATGGAAAAGCTTAAGTTTCTTTCTTAGCAGCGGGCTGCACCTTTTCCCATACTTATTGTCCCAGCCCATGCTGTTGATCATTTCTGTAATAGGTAAATAGACACCAGTTATCATGTACTAGAGAATTGTGTCCACAACATCTCTGTTGGCAATGATGAATGAGTACACTGATGGACCACGTTGCTACCCCCACTTAGTTCATGAAAAAGGGTTTATGAGCCGTGCACAATTGTGTCTGGAATTTCAAGTGTATCGAAGTCAAGCTTGTGTTAAACACGCATGGGGTTTTGAACTAGCTGTGATGTCACACACTTCAAATACACCATATAAGTTCAGGAAGTTGGGCAACTTTGCCTGACAGCGAAAATTTTAACAGCGAAAATTTTAACTTTGTATGCGACTTATAAATTTTTTGCAATTTTTCCTTTTTGTTCAATTTTTTTTGGTGCATTTTATCGATTCATATACAAATACTTGTTCTGGATGTGGATGATTGAGATTTCTTGAAAAATTCAAAAAATCATGAGGAAGTGAAGGATGTTTGTAATGATGATCAGCTTCAACAGTTGTTCGTTCTTTCTCCTAAATCATATGACATGGGGTTTTGCTAACCATATATATGACAATAATTTTCATTTGGTGACGTGCAGTTTGATGTGACACAAGAGTATTCACATGAAAGAATTAATGGTTTGCCTTGTAATCAATTGGTTAAGCCATTTCTATACTTGTTTTATGAAATATCATATTACTTGCATTTATTGGGATGATAGACTTTACTTTGTGTGATGCGTTGATTCTCCATAATCTTTAATGTGTTGCGGAAACCAATGTCTCAAAGGGGAGGGGATGAAGAATAGACGACCTATTATAATTCTTAATTTACAATTTTGAAAGTATAGATACTGTACTTCAAAACCTGATGAATTAAGAAGATGTAGATCCTATTATATGCAATGTGCACCTCATACATTACAAAGGGCAGTGGTTCGTGTGATCTATTAGTTTTTTAACTCTCACCACTTAAACATTTACTTTATGTGAGTGATGTTGATTGCTATGGTGTATGATTTGCAGATGATGAGAATTTCTTAGATATTAACTTCGATATTGCGGTATTTTAAATTTTTTAATAATGATGCTAGTGAGTGGATATATGAGTTTCCTATCCTTTTGATATCCGTATTTCTCTGTTCACGTGCAGTCAAAGGCCTTTGTACTGTTGGAGTTGGGTCCTTCTAAGAATAGTGTTTAAAAAAAGCCATGACATCACGTTTAATATGATGCACGCATGTGACATCTCATTTGCAAGACATTGGGAAATGAAAATACATAAAATTTGAGCATCACATGTACGCCTAGAAACAGAACCGAGAAGAAATAGAGGAAAAAGTTCAAAAGAGAAACTTAAACCATGAGTGAAAGAACATGGAGCCACATTCAGGACTATTGCTAACTCAAACACCGATGAGTGTTTGAAGAACTTATCTTCTATGAGCATGCAGAAAATTAGATTTGCGTGCATGGGAGAAATGGTGAACAAACTCCTGGTGAGAGGTCCAAACCGAATAGTTTTTCACTTCATTCGGATTGAAACCTAGAGAGGTCATTATTTAGAATCACTACTCTTCATTCTGCGATCTGGGTGTCCGCTGTTTACTTCGCTATATAAGAAACATGTCCACTTTTGTATCGGAATTCATAATATTAACCAGTAATTCCTCTGTTTTTTCGTTGTTTTCTATCGTTTAGTTCCCATATAGCGATCACTCGTGGCAGCGGACGTCCGGTGGCCTGGGAAGAAACCCCATCACCTTGGAACCTTTGGAAACCTGGAAGTTCGCCACTTGCAGAAGATATCCTACCAGAACGTCTCTGGGTGTGACAAGCCACAGTGGTTTCATGGCCTGACGATCGTCAAGTCAACGGAATACCCGGCACGACGTTCTCGTGATCTGGCTGGTGTAAGGCAGTCCGTCCACCTGTGACGGTGGCGGCGATCATCCACTGAAGGTCGTCGCGAATTTCTCCAATGTGGGGAGGAGACGGCAGCTCCGTATCCGGTAGTCCGAACAGGGACGGAAACAGTCACATGCAAGAACATGCGAAGTCAAATGACACGAGAGAAAAGGAGACGGATGATGGGAATAACGAACTATTCTTGACAAACACACTTTCAAGAACATGATACTTTAATGCACACTCGTTATTCATCAAATCATGCAGCACAAAAGAGGTAGTCACGCTCATGGGCGAGCGTGACTAACTCTTTCCTCTTTTGCACTTGAGCAGATCATATCTTTTAGCTTTCTCTTCCTCCCTCCTCCTTGTGGGTATGGATTATATGCAACTCCTAGATGATGATTTTATCATTTGAAATAGAGTTTTATATCATGATGCGTAACTCATTCTTGATCTCTTTCAAAGGTACTTGCTCCCTATAGCTACAAATCAACTATGAACTTTCAAAACGAGTGAACCAAGAAGTATCGCAAAAAAAGATGGGAATTACCCATCAAGTAATTTAAAGTCGGGTAAAATAGGTCTAGATTCCAATAGCATCAAAATCGAAAATTTACCACTTAACTGTCGAAGCGAAACGGTCCAATGCATACCACACTTGAGTAACAAGTGACCACATTATTGCAATTAAAGATTTTTCTTGCACATGCAGTTCATTCTGAGGGACTTCAAGAACATTTGATTAAAACGTTGGGGAGTGCGCATCCAAAATCTCAGTTGCAGGAGAAGAATGCAACTAATAGACAATTCTAAGTGGAAGTCACAAGCATTAATACAATAAAAAATAGCTCAAACTATAATATGCGTCGTATGGGCATACAAATCATCGTAGCTGGTACCAGGGCAGTGATAGGATGCTCCTCGTCTACACAGGGAAAAAAAAACATCAAAGGTTCCGAAGTCCGCACACTTATTCCAGCAGGAGTTGAGGATGATCCAAAACGCTACTTTTTTCAATTATTCCATATTATTTAACCGACTAATTTCACTGTTGTTATTTCACACACTGACGACTTCAAATCAGAAGTATCATCATTGTTGTGGTCATTTCAATGAATTGCACCAACCTTCCTAACCTCACCTTTGACAAGTGAAACGACCAGCCGCTTGGTGATGAGCTATTTCCGTTAAGTCTTGTATATAAGTTCAGTGCTTATAATAGTGTTCAACGTTAATCATATTTCTGCTCCCGATATAGTTACTTATTCTGGTCCTTATTCGCACGTATGATTGTTTCACACGTTCAAATCACTAAAAATAACAGACGTATACTTTCGAACATCCTGATATCGAGAAAACCTACCAACCACTGAAAGATCACTGTAGTTTACTGTATGCTGGAAACCTGTACTGTGTTGGAATTCTACAGGAACTGTTACGCAGTAAGCGCGTGCAGGACACGAGCACAAAGCAACCGAGTAGGCTGCGACCGAGATGAGATCTTCACAGCACCAATCAGCCGAGACCCTCCGTCATCACGACAATCGCACATGAGACGAAGAACCACCGGCAGAATATGCCCTCTGGCTCACCAGATCCGCCGGTATCTCCTCGAGTGTCGCCCTCGCTTGTTGGACCGGCTGGTTTGTAATACTGTGGAATTCTACTCAACCTTTAGACTGTAGATCACCTGGCAAGCCCTCCATCAGCGGAATCATGTTGGATTCCCAGTCCCAGTAAGCTACCGTGCGGCACTTTTTGACAAGAATCCTCTTCGTTTCATCGGCTGGGCTATTTCTCTCGGCCCCGCTCTGTCTGTCTCTTTCAATATCCCTCGGGCAGACAGTCGTCTGGAGCGCTTTGTCTGCCTTGCGCTCTAAAAGGCGCTCGTATGAACGAGGTTTTCGCCCTGTTCAGGCTGACAGAGTTGTGAATTTGTCATTTTAGTGAGCGATTGAGTAATCTAGGAAGTCAGCCTATGTGCGTCTGCTGGTTTCGCGTGCGGACCTGTACTGTCTCACTCTCGTTTCTCCCTGAAGGATTTCCTACTATTGGTTGAGCGAAGAGGGTGCAAGAATGCAGACCATGAATGTTACAGGCTTGGTGCAGGGAGTTGCCATTCCTGCCTCCTTCTCGAGCCTGAAGAGGATGGATTCGTTGCCAGCTTGTTTGCAAGCGCCTTCCGGCGGGTTTCTCAGACTGTCGTCTGCTAAGAAGGTGGGAAATGTTCGCATGGCTCGCAGTTCGGGCGTAAGGAATATGTCCCCGGAGATTGCAGAGATGGAGCCTGCCTCGAAAGGAAGCCAACTTCTGGGTCAGTTTTCCTTTATCTGAACGGGAGTCTTAGTTGATCGATTCTCCAAGCACTTTCATCAATATTTTGTATTTGTTTGGCGTACGATCAAAGAAGAGGAGGACGTGAGAATTTTTCTCGTAAAGAGAATATTTCTGTATCAGTGCGTGGCGAAAGGAGCCGGCACATTGCTCAATGTTTATCAAGTGCCTACCCTCGAGAATCAACGAAATTGATCGGAACGTAGAAATGTTTCCGTTGAAACTTGTCCGGAAAATTATATTGTGTATGTTTAATGGCGAGAATAACGTTGGAAGTCGAAGAACATGACAGAGGAAGCCAAGTGGGAGTGATATTTCAGCATCCTTGATGTAACAATTGATTTTATCCTTATTGTCAGACTGTCACGATGATGCACAGTTCAAAGAATGAAATCGTGTTTGTTGTTACGTGACGTCGTAAGAGTCAATGGGTCTAATGTTATGGCGTAAACTTGAACGTACGTTGCAGATTGAATTGGGATATAAACAGCCTTCTCGCAGCGCATTGAATAGAGAAAATTCTGTTCTCAAACCATTAAACTGCATATCATTTGTCTCGTTAGTAACTAACATGTCCCTTTAGTATTGGAGAATGCAAATTGAGCTCAGTCTTCTTCACCTGAAATACGGTTTTTGACTAAGTGATACTCTATCCGTTTTCATGCGGTACATTTAAAGGGTGTCTTCAGTCTGAACTCTTCAATTTCCAGTTTTCGAGCGAAATAAGCACATCAGCTCGTTCGAAGATCCGACTACCGATCTGCGATGATAATCTATCCAGATAGGACTTCAAAAGGGACTGCTTCTTTTTATTCCTTCTCAATTGTCGCAACGAAGGTTGACACGAGTGTAATGAGAGATGCGTGATAAGAAATTTTCAAACGTAGTGTTGCGCATGGTGAAGCCGTAAGACTCACTTTGGATATTGAAACTTATCAACAGTGCCACGCCAGAAGTATTGCGAGTCCATCTACAAGACTGTTCGCCGAGAGACAAGTACCGTCATGATTGGAAATGTAGCAGTCGGTAGTGAACACCCAATTCGCGTACAAACCATGACCACCACCGACACTAAGGACATCGCTGCCAGCGTGGACCAGGTACATGTCCGCAACTGCCATTCTCACACTCACATCTGATTTTCTGTACAGTCTGGACTCCGGCCTTGCAGACGTATTTTTCGAGTCTACAAGAAGCAACAAGAAGATGTGTACAACCTTAGGCCACCTAAGGACTAGTTTTGTTGACGAGGATTCTGTCATATCAATCTACTTGTAGGTGATGAGAATCGCCGATAAGGGATGCGACATCGTTCGAATAACTGTTCAAGGAAGAAAGGAGGCAGACGCCTGTTACGAAATCAAGAACACTCTTGTGAAGAAAGGGTAAGTCCTTGCCAAGATAATGTTTTCGTCTAGGGCTTGATCTAATGATCATGCAACCTTTAATCTATCTTATGTTTTATTGTTGAGATCACAGAGGAGTTGATATTTGAAGTTTACTTTTCCAGATACAACATACCGCTTGTTGCTGATATTCACTTTGCTCCTGCCATCGCCTTGAAAGTAGCGGAGTGTTTCGACAAAATTCGTATTAACCCAGGAAACTTTGGTAAGATTCAGCTTCATTCTATGTCTATGTGGACATTTTAGAAATAGAAATACCAATATATGTTAATTCACTATTCGTCCTGTTTTTCCTTCCGTTTGCCGGGTTTGACGGTGACGACTCTCTGAAACTTTTACAATCTCTGATGCCTATCACGTGAAACTTTGTCACTTGTGCTTGTGTAGCTGATCGTCGAGCACAGTTTGAGATACTTGAGTACACAGAGGATGACTATCAGCAGGAACTAGAGCACATCGAGAAAGTAAGTACACATTTTATCACAACAATTAGACAGCAGAAAAGCCAGAAGAGGCTGGAGTACATGTGGGTTTACCTTAGTTGACTTTTCTCTCATATATCTTGGGGTTGATGTACAGGTCTTCACTCCTTTGGTTGAGAAATGCAAGAAGTATGGGAGGGCAATCCGAATTGGTACAAATCATGGGAGTTTGTCTGACAGAATTATGAGCTACTACGGTGATTCTCCTCGTGGAATGGTGAGTATTTTCGATATTTACATGTCACAGATTTCCTAATACATTGATCTGATTGTTTCAAGTCACTGAATTAGAAATTTGTCTGAGCTCCTAATGATTAGATATATGTGTTGAAGGTGGAATCAGCTTTTGAGTACGCCCGAATCGCGCGCAAGCTGGACTTCCACAACTTCCTTTTCTCTATGAAAGCCAGCAACCCAGTTGTCATGGTTCAAGCTTATCGGCTGCTCGTAGCTGAGATGTATGTCCAGGGATGGAATTATCCTCTTCACTTGGGTGTCACAGAAGCTGGAGAAGGGGAAGATGGTAGAATGAAGTCAGCAATCGGTATTGGAGCCTTATTGCAGGTATTTTTCTTTAAGGTCAGTGCTGTCTTGAGATTAGGAGTCAGCTAGTAGCAGCTCAAAGCGTTGACTGTCTTTCTTTGGCGGACTTGCAGGATGGCCTTGGTGACACTATTCGTGTATCTCTAACCGAGGCTCCAGAATACGAAATTGATCCCTGCACCAGGCTTGCGAATTTGGGAATGAAAGCATCAGCTGAGCAGCGAGGAGTGGTGAGTCTCTAACTTTATGGCAAATGTTGCTCACACTGTACAAGCAGAATTAAAGCTGGATATGTACTGAATGTTTTCGTTTTTCAGGATGCTTTTGAAGACAACCACCGCCGCTATTTCGACTTCCAAAGACGAACGGGCACCCTTCCAGCTCAGAAAGAGGTAAGAGTTGTCAGTCTGTTGATAATATTTTGCTAACTGCATCTCCAGCTGATGAGGTTCACATGTCGGTCATACATTAGTGGAGTGTGAGTGACAGAATCGTGTTAGTTCAAATAGTTTGTACTAATCTTGAACGTTTATGCGTCACAGGGTGACACCGTTGATTACAGGGGAGTCCTTCACAGGGACGGATCCGTCCTTATGTCTGTCTCTCTTGAACAGCTGAAGGTAAAGGGACTAACATTACCAATAGTAGTAGATCCGCTCTTCCGTCCTTTAGTAATGTGTTGGTGTCCAGAAGATTTCTTAAAGAACTTACCTTTCTTCGACCAGATATGTTATCTGAGCACAAGTCTCCTTGTTAAATATGTCTTTTGTTCTCTAGCCGATCCTTGATTATCTTTGCAATTGCGGTGAACCAGAATCCGGAGGCACTCTATAGGGCGTTGTCTACCAAGCTTATTATTGGCATGCCGTACAAGGTAACTGCTTGAAGGTTCTATTTTCGCATCAATGTATATCTTCGCAAGTACATCATCAGGTTGTTGTAAGCTTCGGAGTTTAATCTTCTGTATGATTGACAACATTCCGTGTTGCAGGATCTAGCAACCGTGGACACTATTTTCATGAGGGAGCTCCCACCTGTTGAGGACAAAGGAGCAGTGAGTGTTTTCAGTGTCCTATTTCAACGCTGGAAATGAAGTTTTTTGAAGCTTGTGCTTCTGTCCTTCACAAGTAGTTTACTTTGTACTAAACTAGTTGTGATTCTATTACCAGGAAGCTTCTTGTATCATCTCAGTTGACTAATTTTCTTTGTAACATTTCTGTTTCGTCTCTTCAGGTCTGAAAGCAAAAAGTTCTTCGTAAGTTCCAAGTTTAGGTGTTTTCTCATCATCCCCAAATAATGTGAGATTGTTTGTACGGCATGCAGAGGTTGGCAGTGAAAAGACTTATTGACATTAGCGTGGGTGTGCTCACTCCTTTATCTGAGCAACTTGCAAAGCCTCTCCCAAACGCCATGGTTCTTCTCACCTTGAAGGAAGCAACAGAATCTTTGGACAAAGTTCCTGCAGGTATGTTTCCTCGACGAGCTGTAAATTTAAATATGATGGGAAGTCTCTAGTTATAATCTTAATCATGGCATGGTGATTGCAGTCTGCTTTTATATTTTTAGTGAAAAATAGCACAGGTGGACTCTCAACAGTTTTTGTTGTGAAATTTAATTCAAAATTTGACAAGACAAGTTGGGTCTAATTTCTGGTCGATGCAGGAACAAGATACGCAGTCACTCTCAGGGGCGATGAATCTTACGAAGAATTAGACATTCTGAAAAGCCTTGACGCAACCATGTTACTTGTTTACCTGCCAGAAGATGAACAAAGGTCCAGCCGTGTACATGCCTCAAGAAGGTGAGATTTAAGTGCACTCGAGGGGCCGAACATCATATGAACATATCCGTGGAAAGAAAGCATAACCTGTTTATCTTGTAAATAATTCTCTGCGGGCTTGAGCATCTCCTTTAATCGTGAAGCTTTCAGTTTAGCTTTTTTATCAGTCAATAAGGAGTAGATATTGTCCGCTTATTCTTCTAGCGCGAAAATGATAACAAGTAGATTAAAAGTTGTTTTTTGTGTATATATTTTATACATGTTATTATCATACATATACATCACAATCATGTTTCCGTTCTCTATGCCATGTGCGTTTGCTTTCCTAGTTGGGAACACCAGTGCAAGTATCGTCTTTTTCCCGTGCAACTGATTGTATCACATGATTATGTTGCCAGGTTGTTTGAGTATTTGGAATCGAACTGTATCAATTTCCCAGTTATTCATCATTTGAACTTCCCAGCAGGAACTCTCAGGTGAGTCTTGAGATTTCTACCGTTTTTGGAACCACAGAATGTCCTTCTCGAGTGACACATCTCAATCTAATCCTTGGTGAAATGTGCAGGGACGACCTTGTAATCAAGTCAGGAAGCGAAGCAGGTGCATTGCTTGTGGATGGTCTTGGTGACGGTCTTATGCTGGAAGCTGCCGACCAGGACTTTGAGTTCCTAAGAACCACCTCTTTTGGCATGCTTCAAGGCTGCCGTATGCGCAACACGAAGACGGTATAGTACTTATAATCAGTTTTCTAGTGATCTTTTCATCTTTCACTTGCACTCTGACTTGTCTGCACTGCGTCCATAGGATGTCAGCAACGTTGTTATGTTTGGTTAACATCATAGTTTGCGACCACTTTGGCTGAGCTAACAATTTTGCTCTTATCACATGCAGGAGTATGTCTCCTGCCCATCATGCGGACGAACCCTGTTTGATCTCCAAGAGATTAGTGCGGAAATTCGGGAGAAAACGTCACACTTACCTGGTGTTTCCGTACGTATTTGCACTGTTAGCTTTCATACCATCGTTAACATCACCCAGATTATGTGTTTTACATGTCAATCTGGTCAGTCTGCATGGACTCTTATCTTGTGAATAGGCCTACTGACGCTGAATATGTCCTCGTTGTTCGCTTGCAAACTTGATAAATTATGGGCAATCCTTATCCATGTTTCAGATCGCAATTATGGGCTGTATCGTGAACGGTCCGGGAGAAATGGCGGATGCCGACTTTGGATATGTTGGTGGGGCTCCAGATAAAATTGACCTTTATGTTGGCAAGGTATGAGTGATAGCTTTGCATACTCTGGATATCGTATTTTTTAAAGTTTTAAAGAAACTTGCAACTAAAATACTATTATATATATACACACTGCAAGTTATCTAATTTCTTCGACTTTGCATTAACTTTTATTACAGGACGTTGTGAAGAGAGGAATTCCCATGAGTACTGCTACAGAAGCTCTGATTCAACTTATCAAGGACAATGGTAGATGGGTTGAGCCCGAGGTAGTTGAAGCATAAGCAGCCTCAATCCAAATTCATCTAGGAAACAAGTTATGCTAGTTTAGATATTCTTAAAACACATTGGAATCAGAGTTACGCTTTCGCCTCTGGACAGCTGTGAGAAAGAAAGAGAAGAAAGGCATGCACATTAGAGGCCATCACGAACGGTGCAGTATCCGAAGCGAATAGTTCCGGCTTTGGAGATTGGCATGTACAGATGAATCGAAGGATCCTGGTCAGCATTTACCCTTGTAACACATATTTTGTACCATTCGTTTGCACCAATGATAATTATCACATTTAACGCTTTTGGTCGAACCAAAGTTCCGTATATGAAGTGTCAATACTCCAGAGAAAAACTTGTCGAATGTATTTTATACTGAAGAACCTCAAGTCTCGAAATAAAATGGGGGTATCTAGACATAAGATACCACAATCTGCTTGTGTGTTGAAGACTGCATTTGATATCCCTGAGAAAAACATAAATTTTTTTTTTGTCCATGAAAACTTTCAGATATTTCTGCCATGATACTCGTTGCCGAAAGTTCATAGACATAGATCTAGGTTGACTGTGTCCATGGGCTTTTTTCACCTTGGTGTTAGTAGGTATAACAATGGAAAATACCATTGGCATCGAGATTACTTGTTCTCATAAAGTGAAGACACTCTTTCAGAGTTAAGTTCAAGTTGAAGGATTACATTTTGTACAAGATTTTCAAGCTTAATCTGTTTGCTTTCCATTAGTTTCATGAGCAAGTTGCTATCATTGATATAATCATAAATAAATTGATAAAATCATAAATTTTAAGTAATTTGATGAATATTAAAATTGAAATGCTCGAAGTTCTTTAGCAAAACATTAATATCAAAAACTGTCTAAATCGTATTAAAATTCTTGAGTTTATCTTCAAATTCATGAAAGATACAATATTACAAATGAAATTATTTAGAATCTTGCAGATTTGAATTAATTTGACTATGTATACTTTGATTTTGGTTGATTAGACTATAACAGCTGTCTCTATATAATATGGAAACAAGAAATCCTCTACATACAAAAATTAATAAATTTAGTTCACAGTACTATGTGTTTTTTAATTACTCTTTCTTGTATTTGTAGTGAATATTTTTGAATATATAATATGATTTGGATGACAATTTATATCAAATAAAGATAATGGTGACATTCTTTACGAGGTTAAATAGTGATAGTATGAAAAAAATCCCATCATACCTTTCAAAATATCGATTTAATAAAATTCAAATTTCAAAAAATGTTCATAATTAAATTTCATCAGCGTTTTTCTTCCTAAACTTCGTTATTATTGCATTTATTCTTGCAAAATCATTGCTTTACCTTTGTTTTTCATCATTTTTTGTCATTTATTATTTTACCTCTTGAAACACATTACAACCATTTTGTCTTCAAAGTTTTAGATGAACTGACACTTCAATTTATTTTTATTTTTACAATTTAATTATTTTAGCTAGTAGAAGTCATCAAAGTTTGGAAAAGTATATGAGAGTGAAAAGGTGATGATTTTCAAAACCTTGTTAGATTTTGAGCTTGGGAGCATAAGAGTAATGCTATTGTTGAGATACAAGGGTTTACTTGGTAAGATTTCATTGGATTCATAGAAATTGACAAGCAAGAAGAGGCTTTGGAATCATTGCTACACTCATAATTTCTTCATATGATACAATTGAAAAGTCAGTATATTGGTAAACAATATCATTGGCTTTGTCTTGGATTGATTGGAGTATCTTATAGTTATTTGATAGATGGTTACTTTGCACCATGCAAATCTATTTCACAATTTAAGTCAATCATTTCATTGGCTTATTGGAGATATTTTCAAATATCAAGACAAATGTGAAAATTTTCTTCTTGGAGACCTTGATGCTCGCATACGTTTGACTCAATTTACACATTTTGAGGAAAATAAGTATAGTTTGTGGTCTAGAATCTCTAATGATCATTCTACAAATGATTTGACTTAGCATTTTTTGACTTTTGAAGGCATATGTAAATTTGAAAGTTCTCAATGATGTTCATTTTTTTCCTAATTCTCATTCCAATACATGTTTTTCCTCTTGCTGCGTTAGCACTATTGATTATCTTTTGTCCTTTGCCATTAATAGTTCATTTTTCTCAACATTTGATATTCTAGAGGCTCAACCAGAATCAGATCATACATCTCTTCTACTTTTGATTTTTTGTCAAAGTCAATTGCTCTCTTTACATGTCATTATGTTTCTACTTCCCCAAGTTTTGTTTAGATCATAGTAAGAAGTAACTTTATAGTCAATATTTACAAGACCTCTTGACTCTTACTACTTGAAGCCTTGATCCACATACATCTAGTTTGCAACTAACCGAATTGCTCAAAAACTCTATTTCGAAATTCTTTTTGAGACTTAGAAATCAAAGAGATAGGGATTTTTCTTGCAATGGATGATTTGACTTTGATTGCAAGCAAGCAAGGGCGAAATCGGTTGATAAATCTTTGGATCTTCACAATCGGCTTATTATGACAAGACTTTACAAAGACTTGGTGAAGTCCAAGAAACGAGCTTTTTTGAGGCGGAAGCAAGAGTGCTTGACAAAGGATATGTTGGAGAATTCCAAATCTTTATGGAGGTAGTTGGCAGTACTATCTTCCAAACCTACTTTGGATCACAAGTGTTTGATTTCTTTTGCTGAAAATACTTATTTTTTTCCCAATGTTGCATCAATGCCATGTTGTGAAGGAAACCTGGTCTATTTTCTGAAGTTGAAATGATGACTCAACTCAAACAAATTTTGACAAATTTTAAATGTGAGTATTTGAATGGTCTTTTGATTGAACTTCTCAAGTGGAGAGGAGATGCTTTTGAACCTATCCTCACTAAAGTGTTAGAGAATGCTGCTATCTATGGTTTTCCTTCAACTTGCTCTCTACGGAAGATTGTTTCTATTCACAAAATTGGAAGCAAGGCTTTGGTGACAAATTATCAAACTATCATGATGGGTAGTATTTTTGCCAAGTTATTTGGCAAATTGATGGAGTCAAAGTTAAGCACATGGACGGATTCTGCCAGAAGAGAGTGCGATTTCAAGCTGGTTTTTGTTCTACATTCAACACTAAAGATTATATTTTGAATTTGCGTGTTTTAATAAAAAAGTCCAAGAACAATGGAAAAGCTTTGTTTTGTGACTTCATCAATTTTAAGTATGTTTTTGTCATTGTACCTTGTGAGGTTTTTATGAGAAAGATTGCAAACAATTGGAGTACCATGAGATCTTTTAGTAGCTATGATCACATTATTCCATTATGTTCAAGCCAAAATCAACACTTCTCAAACCAAAGAGATTTTGAGTATCATTAGAGTTATTCAAGGTTGTACTCTTTCTCCTACTCTCTTTGGAGTTTTCATAGATAATATAAAACGATGCTTAGAGGATTGAGAAAATAAAGGTGTCAAACCTGGAGCCTTTGTCATCAAAGCTCTTTTGTATGCAGATGATGTCATATTACTAACACGTGATGCTATTAGTTTACAAAAACACCTTGACACATTGGTTAGCTTTTGTACTCAAAATCAAATGAAAATCAATTTGACAAAAACACCTTGACACTCTGGTTTACCTGAATGTGAGAAGGAAGAGTTGAAGAGTGTTGTCACCAAGTTCTTGGCTAAAACATTTGATGTTTCAAATTTGGATTTGACTCAAAGGAACTTTTTGTATTGGGAACAAAGGAGCACAACCTCATGCAATTATTGTTAAGTTTGTGGATCAAGCTCAACGTGATACTGCTTTAGCTAACAAGGTCATTTTCAAGGGATGGAGGATTTGATTAGATCTTGATCTTACACCTTTACAAGTTGAAGTAAGGAGAAAAGAGTTTGCAAAAGTCAAAGAAGCTCAAGATGCAGGTTTTGTCATTTATCTACGTGATAGTCAAGCTATTATCACTCAGAGGAGAAGACAGTCATCAAGCTAGCAATCCAAGAGGTTGAGGGTGTTGATGTGGAACATAAGAGACCTATCTACAACAAAGTATGTGAGTGCATATCCAATTTGGAAGATGGCGGACATCCTCAACATTGTAGAGACTAGGAAGCATGAGAGCAATGCTATTGAAGAGATACAAGGGTTTACTTTGATGGGATCAATTTGAAATCATAGAATTCAACGAGCAGGAAGAGGCTTTGGAAACATTGTTACTTTTATCATATCTGAACTTCTTTCTATGATACATTTGGAAAGCCAAAACATTGGAAAACAATATCATTGGCTTTGTCTGGGATTGATTGTAGTGTCTTATATTTATTTGACAATTTGTTACTTTGCACCATTATCCATGCAAATCTACTTCAAAAGTACTTGCAATCAAAATCAATCATTCCATCAGCTCATAGGAGATGTTCTCAAAGATCAATACAAAGGTGAAATTTTTCTTGCTGGAGACTTTAATGCCCGTATACGTTCTACTCAATTTTGTTCCTTGTCTTTTGACTCTATTGAAGAAAGTAGAGATAGTTTTTTGTATAGAAACTCTATAGTGATCATTCTACAAATGATTTGACTGAGCATATTTTGACTTTTGGACCCACATGTAATCTGAAAGTTCTCAATGATGTTGCTATTTCTCAACTTCCACTTCAATACATGTTTTTACTCTACCGAAGTTAGCACTATTGATTATCTTTTGTACTCTTTCACTAATAGTTCATTTATCTCAATCTTTGATATTCTAAAGCCTCAATCAGAATCAAATCATTCAACTCTTTTATTTATTCTTTTGTTGTCAAAGTTAATTACTCTCTCTACATGTCACTCTTTCTACTTTCCCCAAGTTTTGTTTAGATGCTAGTAAGAAGCAACTTTATAGTCAACATTTACAAGACCTCTTGACTTTTACTACTTGGAGCCTTGATCCACATACATCTAGTTTGCAACTAACCAAATTGTTAAAAAACTTTGCTTCTAAATTCTTCTTGAAACATAAGAATATGACAGCTAAAGGTATTCCTTGCAATGGATGGTTTGACTTTGATTGCAAGCAAGTAAGTACAAGATCAGTTGATAAATCATTGGATCTTTCCAATCAGCTTATTATGACAAGACTTTACAAAGACTTGGTAAAATCTAAGAAACTAGTTTTTTTGAGTCAAAAGCAAGAGTGCTTGATTAAGGAGCTATTGGAGAATCCCAAATTTTTTTGGAGGCGGTTGGAAGTACGATCTTCCAAACCTAATCTTGATACCAAATGTTTGATTTCTTTTGCTGAAAAGCTTAATTTTTTTCCCAATATTGCATCAATGCCTCGTTGTGAAGGAAAATCGGGTCTATT